GTTCTGTATAAGACGGTTTCCCAGAAAAGCCTGTCTCAATTTATCATGGAAGTCAGCTATAAGCAAAGAAACCCCTACAACCTGCACCCACATGAAACAGAGCCTCTGCAAATACTGCAGATTCTTTACCAGGTGAGAAAGTGTTTGGAGCCTGATTAGATAGGAATATATATCAGTACGAATTAGAGTATTTTAACCCTTTTTATTTGTTGAATTCTCTGGGTTTCCTTCTTACAAGGGAACATGGGGCCTTGTCATTTGATATTGCTCCAGGAATCTCTTTGGCTCTACACCAGCATAGCTTTGAAGGAATCCTGCTCTTGACTTGTGCCTGGCTGACCCTCTACAGAAATGAAGAGCTGGGGCATGTTACAGCCCCTGGCAGGGGGAGGGATCCTTTCAGCGGTGCGAGGAGTGCATGCATTGATGCGTACAGAGCTATGGATGTGCTGTCCATTACGTAGCATGCCCACTCCCCTTTCTGCTGGCGAGATCCCTCACGCGCGTAACTGCTCACAGCATTTAAAAGACAACCCACCTGCTTGGCACATCGCGGCTGCTACAGTAACACTGCATGATGCTTTAAGAGCCTGTTACCTGAGAAATTTTCTGACACAATAGAATTAGAGCATCTTTAGCTGCATATGAACAAAGGGAAGAAAGGGGGCAGTAACTGTATTCTTCTTGACAACCATCCTTTCTCCTGCTGAGATGTTCAAAGTTTAGGAAAGTCAAGAGCCCAAGCATGCACTTCGTATGAATCAGGGAAAGTTGTTAAATTTTGTTCAGAATTGAAGTATCCTTTTGGCTGAGAATACAGATTTGGGCCTTGACGTTTAGACTCTTGGATCTGTATCTATCCAGATAAACTCAAAAGTGCCGCAGGCCTACTCCTCTGTAAGTGGTTACATCATTTGGAACTTTACATGTTCACTATCCCCCCCAAAATTGTATCTTTGCCAGGCAACAAGTATGAACATGAATAGGGAACTTCAGACTGTCCTGCAACATGAAAGACACTCGAAGTGAAACATACCTTTCCTGATGGAGTCCTGTTAAGGGGTCTTCATTGTAAATTAAAATTGCTTTCCTGCTAGTTTATACATGGCTTTCTGAGACTTCTCACTGTTGAGTGCTGTGCTACTCGTAGCACTTCTATCCTTCCACTTCTGTGCAGGGTCTCAGAGCTCCTTCTGCAGGGAGCCCTCTTACTCCTTAGTCCTGTCCTGCCACACCGACACATAGCTCACTAGATCTGCTGACACCCCTTTTCATATTGCGTGTATCAATGCAGGTGAACTCCAGAACTGGTTTCAGAGTACAAGAAAACAACTTCTATGTGCCTCAAGTGAAAGGGATTGTCAGACTGCTTTTGTTCTTTGATGTAGAAGTAAGTATAAAATCTTACCAGCAGTGCAAAACACCTTTTTTTCTGTTTTATTTAAATGAGTCTATATTTATGAAAGTCAGCTCTAGACTCTAGCCCAGTACATTTCAAAGACAATGCATTTTCCCTAGTCCTCCAGCTGTTATAAATCATGCAAGCCATTTACCATCCCAGTATTTTAGCAGCTGCGGTAGTGCCTTTCCTGAGATGACCCCTGGTTCTGAGAGTCAGAGCTGTCCTCCAGCATCTTAAGCAGCTCTATTTGCTTTGAACTGGTGATCAGTGTGAAATAGCACCATGAAGGATGGTTGCTATACTTCTTGTTACTCTGGATTTTATTATGTTTAATTAACAAATATTGTGAAGTCTCTTTAAACTTTTATGTAGAAACCCTATTGAGCATTTCAGTTTACTTACATTGAAAAACAAAGCTGTGGTAATAAAAATTAAGCTGTGAAATGGTTCATTTCTTGATGACAGGAAGAAGTAAAAATGAGGTACCAAATGCAATTGGTGTCACAGGAAGCAGCATGAAATGGAAACGTGGATAGTAGGGGCTTGCTTAGGCAAAAACATGCAGTTTTCTGGCAACTTGGCTGGAATTCACAGGGCAACTGCCTAATTCTTTCATAAGCTTTCGTTTGCTAATGTACCAATTTTGTACCAATTAACCAGAGTGGAGGAGGAGGTTTGAGAAACAGTATAGAATCAAAAGCCAAATAGGACATTACCTGAAGCTGTTGCCTTATCACACTGGAGGCTAACACTTTGAATTAGATTCTTTTGTATACCAATATCTACTTTTGGTATTACAGATAATAAACCACACAATTTTTAACAACAATGTACCATAACCTGGGTATCCAGGACATTTTTACTATGTGTTTTGGTTTAGCTGAATTACGGAAGATGCTATTAAAATCACTATGCCTCTGTTTTATTCTTGGGGTACTGTAACACAAGTGTCTGCCTGCACAGACAGCTCAGGTGCCTCCCTGTCAGGGTTTCCCACTCACAGAAGTGCTTAGAAGCTCCTTTTAGAAAGTGTGCCTCTCTTGGTGTAGTGTTCACGTATACAACAAGGGCATGTTTCAGAGATAACAGGAGTTTGCCAGGGTACAGACTGGCAGTTCAGTCTGCACACGTACCCCCAAACTCTGATTTTGCAAGAGAAAATCAACAAATCTTTTTCCTTCTTCCTTGTCATTTCAGATGGCCCCGTGGAAGCTGACCAAATATCCATGCATCTTTGACATGCAAGACAAGATTGGCGTTCATAAGGCAGAATGCACCGCTCTGTCCCTCTCCTTTAATTACGTAAGTGTGGCCAATTTTTTTACAATTTAGAAGAAAGAAACACACTGCTAACACACTGTTACTTCAATCTTCAGATACACTTATCACAGTGGGATTTTCCGGTCAGAAGACGGTGCCTTCTGCAAGACATATGGACTCATTTAAATAGCGCACCAACCCAGCAATTCAGGAACATCTTAAAGGTAAGATACCAAATTGTATTATTTGTTAGCTCTGAATATATTGCTGCAGTGTTCTTTGGTTTTCCGTGTTACTGAAGTATTGGTAGAAGGGATTCAGTATTCACTGAGCATACAACAAAACAACTACTCATCAATTATTATAAAACATGTTCCACAGGGGATGTAGAATAAATACTACCTGGAGGGTAGTATCTTATTCTTATTCCAGGTAGCCATCAAGCTTTGTTGGCATAAGTTAAATGCAAGTTGACAGTGCTATTTACTGTGAGGTTGCTTTGGGGTAACGTAATAGGATTGCTCAGGAAACTGGTAATTGGCAAAGTCGATTAATATTGCTGCTAGACTTTAAAGACTCTAGGCTAGTTTGCTGTACGTGAAAAACCTGGTGGCTGGGGAGCCAGCGTTAGAGGCCAGCAAGCGACATAGCCACAAAAGCCATTGCTCTCACAGAGATGCTGCCTGAAGGGAAAGGAAGAATAGTGCCAGCGAGAGAGATGAAAAGCTGATTATAATGCTGCTGTCTCCGTGTGGCTTTAGTCTGTGGTTTCCACACAAACCCAAAGGTTATGGCAGGG